TTTGTCGTCTTCCCGTGAGCACCCAACGCGAGGCGTCCCACAGTCCTTTGATTTACATCCATTCCCGATTGCACCTCTGCCCTCATGCACACCACTGAGTTCCCAAAAGTAAGCCCTGGAACCATTACACCCTTCCACAGACCTCGAAGCACCTCATACCTATTGTATCCCCACAACGCTCTGTGCTTCATTATTGACGCATTCCTCTTTCCTTTTGCTGCCGAGGCTTTTTCCTGTACCTCCATGTATCTATCACTCTCATTTACCCATACTCCAAGGTACTTGTATTCACTTACCCTCGGTATTTCTTGGCCTTGTATGGACACCGTCTGATCACAGGGATCATTGAATACCATCAATCCACACTTCGTTACACTGAATCCTAGTCCAAGAGCTTCACCTTCCCTTCCGCATATATTCGCCAGCTGCTGTATATCATCTCGACTGTCCGCAAATAAGACGATATCGTCCGCATAAAATAAACCTGGAAGCTTCTGCTCAATCATCATGCCGCCCTGTTTGTGTGACAGATTAAAACCAATGTTGCTACCTTCTAGCGCTTTTTCCATACTCACCATGTACAGCATGAATAACAGCGGGGACAAAGGACATCCCTGTCTCAGACCCCTGCTAACCTCAACGTTCTCTTTGCTACGCACTCCTTCCCACTCTATGCAAACTGTATTTTCTCGGTATATCTCCCTCAAAAGCTGTATACAGTCGTCGCCCATGCCCATTCCTTTCAATATATCCCACAAAATTTCCTGATTAACGTTGTCGTATGCCCCAGTGATGTCTAGAAAAGCCACGTACAAGGGCCTATTCTCTATTTTAGATATTTCTATACACTGAGTGAGAACAAACAGGTTATCGTCTAACCGCCTGTCGACTCGAAATCCGTTCTGAAGTTCTCCCAAAATATCGTTATGTTCGGCCCATGTTTCTATTTTCATTTTTACTGCTTGCATCGCCAACCTGTATAGTACCGATGTAATGGTTAGTGGTCTATACGAGCGAATCTTGTCCTTTTCTCCCTTGCCTTTATAGATTAAGTTCATTCTACTTTGTCGCCAACTATCCGGTATTTGTCCGTCCTTTAAGCTTTTTTCTACTGCTTTTAACAATGCTTCTTTAGTGTTATGTCCTAGTTCGTTAATGAGGCTAACGGGAATCCCATCTAAACCCGCGGCAGTGCGCTTTGGAATTTTTCCTTCGGCCTTTTTCCAGTTGAAATTATCAAGTACTAGCTCTTCCTCTGTTGCTTTCTCCGCCACACTTTTACTCACCGGGGAGATCCCCTGGACGCTCTTTTGAAACGAATCGGCTGTTACCTTTTGGATGTAACCTAGCGCTTCGTACCCTTCCAATTGATTTCCTCCTTCATCTAGAATATGTTGTTGCGTTGTGACAGACTTCCTACCTAGCGCCTTTATGTGGCTCCAAAAAATCCTAGGCGCGGCCTCCTTTTTTTCGTGTATCTCTGTCATCCAGCGTTCACTTTCACCTTTAATTTTTGCCTCTACCAATTTCTGTACATGGGATTTTTTCTCTAAATATATTTCCCATATTTTTTTGACTTCGTCCTGCGGCCGCTTCTCCTTTTTTGCCTTTCTATGCTCCCGTGATGCTTCGCGTCGCTTCTCGATCGCCTCCCGGATTTCCTTGTTCCACCAACTTTTTGGCTTCCTTTTTCCTTTCCAGCAAACAGTTTTCTTCTCTTTCCCTATCTCCTTCGTCATTAGATGTAACAGCTCACTATACTCCCAGTCCTTGCCTGGTATTTCGCCTACTTCTTCCTCGACTCTTGCGGCTATATTTATTATTTGTTTGTCATTTAAATACGAGCTGCCAGACTTTGATTCCATGCTCATATTTTCAGTTTCGTATTCCATTTGTAATGTTATTCGTTTATGATCACTACCCAAGCTGTTAATGCCTTCCTCGTCTATCCTCATTTCTGTCAGTTTGTGGTAAATTCCTTCAGTCATGAGACAATAATCAATACTTGATTGCTTGTTTCCGACTTCCCATGTGATCTGGCCGTCACATTTAGGCCCCGTGTTAACTATCTCCAGACTATGTTGCTCGCAAAGATCTAGTAATAACTTCCCATTGGTGTCTGAATATCCGTCAAGGTCATGTATGTGGGCATTCATGTCCCCTAGAAGGATGATTTCGGCCCCATTACCAAATTCCTTAATATCCGCACTCATGCAATCCACTATCTCCTGATTCTTTTCTCTGCAGTTATTCCCCGTCCACAAGTAGGCTACCCCTAGCCACGTTTCCTTTCCACCTACTGTGCCCAGAACCCAGAGGTGCTCTGAACACGTCTGTTTCACTCTAACCCATTTGGCTCCGCGGTGAATTAGCATTCCTACACCCCCACCTTTCCTTTCCGATATGGTCCTGTTACACCCTTCCCAAACATAATTTTTAATATGTGGTGGCTCTTCCAAGTCTCTAAGGTGTGTTTCTGTAACCGCATACACGCCTATCTGTTCTTTGTTTAACTGCTCCTCAATCTCTAACCATTTTGCCTTCTTTCTGCCACCCTGCATGTTTATGTAACTAATTGCAACACGCGCCTTTTTCCTTTTTCTTTTACCTTTTTTCTGGTTTTTCGCAATTCTACCTGTCAAAGCGTCCTCCTGGTTGTTTTCCCTGTTACGAGCTACCCCGGACTCCGAAGGGCCCGTGAGCCCCCCAAAAAAGCTACTGCGCGTCCTGCCAGTCGCCAGCCCACCTCGTGTCCAAGCCTCTTATCGAAATGAATCTTGTCTCTTTGGAATCCACCCCACCTGTGCACTTCCCTGTTTAAATCCACTACCTCGAAACCCTTCTCTCGACTAATTCGCCATATCTCTTTGTTTGCGTCGACAACCGCTCTTTGCAGGTTGACGTTGCGTACTGGTACTTCCGGTACTGTGCATACTACAATTTGCACCTGGGGGGACACGGTGCGCATGTCATCCACCCCTTTCGCCAAGGTCGTCGCTAGTCCTGACGATTCTTTTTTCAGGACGTCATTTAACCCTCCCGCAATTACAACGAGGTTACGATTGTTAGCTTTAGCTGCGAGTTGTTCACCCGCTTGACTCATTACTGTCCCCAGCGTTTGTCCTGGGAACGTCCCTATCGCAACTCTCTTGTCGCCTTTCACCCTTTCTTTGATTGCCGCTGCGCATCGGACTAAATTTGAGTCACCAGCGATGATGACCTGTTCAGACATTCCTTCTGAAACCTGCACCTGGCTGCTGACTAGGTGACTAGCGTGAGTCACGGCTGCTGGTTTGCTCCCTCCCTCCCTCAAAACTACTTCCCGGTAGCTGGGCCCTGTGGCCAATGTATCTGCCTTTGTCATGCCTGTTTCCCTCATCTCTCCCGCACGGGGGGTCGTCGCCATAATGCTTCCGCCGTCACCTGTGTCTTCGTTCCCCTTCACGACCTTCGATAGGCCCTTCTCGGCTGCCCGGAGCCTTTCCTCCATGGCTGACGTTTTCTCTCGCTCCTTCGCCAATGCATTCTCCAGCTCTGCGATTTTCTCCATGAGCCCACTCTGGACCGCCATCATATTTTTCATTTTCTCCTCGAACTCGCACTGTCTACACTTGGCGTCATCTTCTGCTTTCTCTTCCGCACTAATTTCCACCTTCCACCCTACCCCGCACTCCGAACACGAGACTAATAGTCTCGGTCGCGAGCGCCACCGCGTGGCGCTTGCTCAAAACTAAAGGCAGGCCAACTCCGCTGGGAGCGCGAGCCAGTCCTCAGGCATTGTTTAGAGCATGACCTACTACACTCCTGACCTGCCCAGAGAGCACCTCTTCCAGCGCCCACGTTCTAGTTCATACCTTCTGCCGCTAGGGCCGTCACCTACGAGCGGCGTGGCGCTAGGCAGCACCTGTTCGCTGACGTCACCTTCACTCTTGTAGTCAAATTTTAACCAACAAAGCACTCGTAGTGCGAATTTATGATCCACAATTTAGAAATATCCAGAAATAATAATACTAAAAGACATTCAGAATTTTTTTTGCAATAAAATGCACGCGACAACGCATAGGCTGTCCAAAATCATGTAAATCCACGGGTTTCCACGTTTGTCAACCAGTGTGCTATAAATTCTTAAGCGCACTGAACAGCTTACTTGACCAGCAATGTATGGGAAGAAATAGTCACATATATGCCGACAGTTCACCACAGAAAGCAGGCATTCTTATACCAGCGCCTACAAAACAACCGTAAGAAGCAGACGAACAGGTTATAGGTAGCGCCACCTACGGCGAGCGATTGAACGAGAGCGGGGACACGCGCTCCCATAGGAACCCCGCTATCTGAACAGGTCAGGAGTGTAGTAGGTCATGGTTTAGAGGAGGCGTTGGTACCATGACCTACTACACTCCTGACCTGTTCAGATAGCGGGGTTCCTATGGGAGCGCGTGTCCCGCTCTCGTTCAATCGCTCGCCGTAGGTGGCGCTACCTATAACCTGTTCGTCTGCTACTTTACGGCTGTTTGGACGGCGCTAGAGTAAGAACGGCTGCATTCCGTGATGAACAGCCGGCATATATGTGACTATTTTTTCACTTAGATGACTGGTCAAGTAAGCTGTTCAGTGTGACGAAAAATTTATTGCACACTGGTGGACAAATGCGAGAATCCGTAGACTTACATAGTGTAGGACAGCATATGTGATGTTGCGTCCATTTAATTGCAAAGAATTTGTGAATGACTTTTGAAATATTTGTTTCAAAATTATTTTTCATTAGTGCATAATAATTACGCAATATGAGTGCTCTGTTGGCCGAAATATGACCACGAACACTCAAGCTGACGTCAGCGAACAGGTGCTGACTAGCGCCACAGTGCTCCTAAGTTACGGCCCTAGCGGCAGAAGGTATGAACTAGAACGTGGGCGCTGGAAGAGGTGCTCTCTGGGCAGGTCAGGAGTGTAGTAGGTCATGGTTGGTACTGAGTACATGATCACGTGATACAAATATGTCGCGCGCGGCTACAGTCACAGAACTACAGTCACTAGTGTACTAGCGCGGCTGTTGTGTTGAGGTTTTAGCGTTTTGTTTTGTGGTTTCTCGTTTAAACGTTTTGAGGCGTGGCGTCGTGACATAGATAATTATGTTACAATAGCTGTCATTTGAGAACAGCAGGGGTTCAAACAGCTAAAATTTGGCGGGGTGATGTCACTGTTCGTGAACGCCCGTCAATGTGCCTGACCGGGTTGACACATCAATACAATGTTTTCAGGAGCGCGCATATTTATTGTGCCTACGGGTATTGGAGGCCCACGGGTGCAACTCTACAAGAGCAAAGTAGTTGAGCTCGGGGCCACAGTTGTGGGCGACGAAAAACAGGCCACGCACATAGTCGTGTCGGAGTCGTTGGAAAGAGACCGTTTCTCCAAAATATTGGACCCAGAAAACTTGCCTACAGCTGCGAAAATCGTGAAGTGCACGTGGCTGAGCGAGTGCTTGAAGAACAGCTCATTAATGCAAACAACAACGCACGAACTGCCCTGGAAGTCATCGCCGAGTACGTGCAGCGACAGTAGTGTTTCATCTAAGCGAGCGAAACTTGAGCTTGCAGATTGCGTAGATCAGCCTGGTGCGTCTCTGGGCGAGAAATCCTCAATGATGCAAAAAACTGTGGTTTCGGTACGTCCAACCTGCGCATTGATCGTTAATTTTTTAAAGTTTATTTGCTCTGTGGTTTTACAGGAGCGGGAGCAGAGGCTAAGGCTGTCCAGCCTGAAGAGGCCACTGATCCCGATTGCAGTTTGGCACGCAGGCCGCTGAACGCCGCAGTATTATAACATATGACTAGTACAATTTCTGACATTGCATAATAACAACAGAAATAAGCATATAGTCTAAGTAATGATCCTAAACATAAGGTTCGCCACACAATGCAAGTTGATTATCTGATGTTAGAAATCAAACACAAACTATATTAGGCATACTTAATATGCTGTGTTAATGTTTACGTGGAATCTACGAGACCGTGTGAACGATTTAATTATGTAGGTATTTGTTATTTGACATTTTGTCCTCCATATTGGAATTCTTTAGTGTTGCTTGTGCATGTTCCAAGTGTTGAGTGTATGTCCAGTAATTATAAATATGTATAATCTTTTCAATCTAATGTTTGGATCCAGGACAAGTGGGTTTGTGCAGTTCCCTCCACAGACGTGCTTGTGAACAAGAATGCCCACATAACAGACCAGTTGGAGGTGATGCGTACTGCACCAACCATGTGAGCTTTCTGACAAACCGAGGTTGTTCTATTACAGGCCATGGTTGAAACTTATCAAAGCACTAAGGATCACTGGAGAGCACTAGGTTATGAAAAAGCCATCATGCAGCTAAAACGGCATCCTACCGAGATCACAACATGGGAGGTAATAAAGTATGTAGGAATACAACTTTAAAACACTATTTAACAACAACGGCACCAAAGTATGTGTTGTAGCAGAGTTTACACAGCTATATTCTTATTTCTTCAATTCTAATTCACTTTAGTTCAGTAGATATTTGTTTTGACGTATAGTGAGCAGTGTTAGTAAAACCACATGAGACCTTGACAAAAGAGAAATGAGTTACAAAAGCATATAAATCTCAGCTAATGTCGCTCAATTGTTCTAGCTGATGAACCCAAAGAAATATTGTTGTCTCCCTGCTTATGCATTACATAATCTAATGGCAGAATGCGAGGCCTAATTTTGAATTGTAAAACACCTTGGTGGTGTGCGTGGAAAGCAATGAAGATTATGCAAGGAACCTTTGGAGTGATTTCAGATTGGCCAGATGAGAGACGTATGCATCAGTCGGCACTTGTTGATTTTTCAAAAAACTGGTATTTTTACTGATATGAACACCCCAAAGTCAAGGGTGTTGTATCAAGTCATACCATTGTTAGTTCAAACCTTAATTTCTTTTTATGTTCCTGTTGCTCATTTTTCTTGTATTATTTTCATTCAGGTATACATTAAATGTTAAGCATAATCATAAATGAGTCTCAGAATGCTATATATCTTGTTCAGTTTGTGCTTTGATGTATGCAGCATTCATCTGTATCTAAAATGAGTACTGTGATTGAAATGAAGCTTGTTAGGGTTGAGGCTCGGGCTTATTGGTTCATGCCTATAACTTGGAAATACTAGCACAGACTTTTGGCTGAACACAAGACAAGGAAGGCAAGACAACACAGCTGTTATCGTGCCTTTTTCATCTTGTGTCCTGTCAGAAATTTCTGCATTTTTGCTGTTTCGTTCATTTTGCACAGATACCTGCTTTCTATATATTGCACTTGTTTTGCAATAAACTTTGGTTGTTAGTTCAACGCCTTGTCTGCATGTTTATCTCATTCTGTCTTAGCACTGTTTTATTTGTCATCTATTATGTGCCAACCAGCCCAATAAAGCACACTGCACATTAAAGGGACACCAAATATAAAGAATTAGTTTTGATATAAAAATTATTGTTGGCAACTCTACTGTAATTAATTTTGCCATCATAGGTTCATTGATAGAAGATAAAATGAAGGTCAGAGTTTCATTTTTAAATTTCATGCTGAAATCTCTGCATATATATGTCAGCATGAGATCACAGATTTCACAGTGTTTCTTTTTGTTCGGTGCCAACGAAATTTGCCAAAATTTGGTATATTAATCTTCCTCAAAGGGCGATGTTCTTCATCTTTGCCAATTAGAACTATGTAGACCTCAGTAGACACTGTCCTAATCTGTGGCAACACGACTAGTATAAGGGCCAGTAAACAACCCCTAGGTCCGAAAATTATTGTAAAGAGAAATATGTGCACTTGTATTTCGTGAACATGCTGCCGCAAGAATTTTTTGAATATGTGCTATATTAAGGAAGTTACAAGGGCTAGAACATCGTGTTCAGCTGGTTTCAAATATTCACGCGGTCTTGCCATCCTTCTCCTTTAGAGGAAGGGGAAGGCGTGGCCCGTTTTCGTGACTTTGCCCACTTCGGCAATGTGACAAGACGTCAGTAATTGACGTCATGGGTGAACTCGATCAGTCGCAATGCACTTCCGCTTGCTGCGATGCCTCGCTGTTTTACGTTTACCTGGTGCCGATGCTTCTCCGCAGCCCAGTCGCTTGATTTGCAGCAAAACTGTGTTGCAAAATCCGGACATTAAGTTGGCCCAATTTTTCTGAGTTCAATTTTTTGGGAGCAGACTGCCGCACGATCTGGGAGCAACAACACAAAACACAAATAATGCACTTATAGTGGGTGTGCATATCAACAGGTGGCATGAAAATCTGCTCACTCCCGAAGACTGGGTCAGTGAAGTGTCCCACTTTCGAAAGTTTCTATGCATGGAGCCTATGGGGAGTTTCGCAACTCCTATGATTGAATAGCTCTGTCGTAGCTGTGGGTGGAAAGAGGAACTGTCGTTGACTTCACTACTATTTGTTGACACCTGGTTTAGAGCAATTTACAAGCTGCGTGCTGCATCACGTTGCCGAGTTGTCATCACTACGCGTGCAAGGAGATTGGTCAAACGTAGGAAAAGAGCGCGGGGATTGTTTTTCAAAATGGAGGCTGTGCGCGGCGCGCAGCTTCGTAATATTCAGAAAACGTGATCGCTGCTGTCTACTCTATGAATTACCAAGCTTGTTTGGGGGTTGTAAAAAAAATTTGGAGCCTGTTGCCTGGCCCTTTAATGCAGAAACTTCAAAGTGGTGTCACCACCTGCATTTCATTGGTGCACATTTTCCTCGCTTATCAGGAGCCTTCGTGAGGCAAATGTTGTGTTTTTGGTATTGTGAACGGGTAATTTACCAACAAAAAAATCATTTTTCTCTATAGGGTTTTTTTAACGTACAAAGGAATGTTAGAATCAGCTAAAATGTCATTATTTGTTTCCTGGCCACGTGCCCGTAAATGTCTCTATTTCAAAGCAGTTGCTGCAAGTACATGTTGCTGAAGTTTCTTTTCCACTGATAGGAAGCCAGGGCCCTGCCTAATGTAGGAAAAAGGCTGGCAGACAAAATATGGGAGATTGTTCAGCAGGGCAGGCTTCAAAAGCTGGAAGAATTTCAAAGCCAGGAGAACCTTGTTGCACAGAACTTGTTCACAAAAATCTGGGGTGCTGGGCCAGCAACAGCACAAAAGTGGGTCCAGCAGGTGAGTTCGGACTCTTTCCATAGCAGCTTCATAGATAGATTTATGCCTAAATTTGCCAACTATGCTGGCAGTGTTTTGCTGTCTACACAGGTGTGTTCTCCTCTGCTAGAATAACTTGCCTGCGTTGATGAAAACTAACATACAGTAATGCCAGTTAAGGTATGGGGCTGTTTTTAGAAGTAATTGTAATGTAAATGGGAATAGAACGAAGAAAATTGGAAGAAAAGGTGACTTGCCATTGGCAGGATCCGAACCTGCGACCTTCGAATAACACGTCAGATGCTCTACCACTGAGCTACAGGATATATATTGTCCACTTTGTAGGGTATATATTGCAGTGAGTGCTCCATACTCGGTGCAGTGGCGACATGTGGTGCTGACTGAGACTCCCAAGTTTCCATACACATACATACCCTATTAAGTGGACGGAGGGATGACCTCTACTGGCTCAGTGATAGAGCATCGTACGCGTTATTCGATGGTCGCAGGTTCGGATCCTGCCATTGGCAAGTCATCTTTTTGTCCACTTTCTATTGTTCACATTTACATTACAATTACTTCTAATAACAGCTCTCATACTTTCCCTGGCATTATTACCTATTAGTTCTCATTAAAACTGTCTAACAATGAAAATGAACCCTTAAAATTTTACTTTCCTTCATTCATAGCGAGGGTCTAGTTCTGGCAGACTTGATGCCTTGAGGTGGCATGCGAACTATTATTGGTCAGCTGCCATCTCGTAATAAGATCACATACTACGTGACATCAAAACAGGCAAAAAGAGTGTTGCACACTTGCTGCAATGACAACAGGTGGCACTAAATGAAGCTCCCACACTTACATGTACATATATACCCCACAAAGTGGACGGAGAGATAACCGCCACCGTAGCTCAGTGGCAGAGCATCGAACATATTATTCGAAGGTTGCAGGCTCGGATCCTGCTGGTGGCAGTCATCTTTTCTTCCACTTTTCTTTGTTCACATTTACATTGCAAGTACTTCTAATAACAGCCCCCATGCTCTCCCTGACATTATTGTCTATTATTTCTCATTACTACTGTGTCTAACAATGAAAACGAGCCCTTAAAAATTTCCACTGTCTGCGTCGGGACAAACAAGAATGTGGCGGTACTCTCTTTCTTTCTCTTCCCTCTTTCTTTTTATGCTGCAAGGGTTTTCGTTCACTGGAAGCACTTGCTGCCAAAGGAAATCTGAGCAGCCAGCAGAAAATCGGGCTCAAGCACTTCCATGACTTCCTTGAGAAGATGCCGTCTGCAGAAGCAGAGTTGATTGCAGACACAGTATGTCAAGAGCGTGAGATAACCTTTTAACCATTGATTTGTTAACAGTGCGGTCACTGCAGGTGAAGAAAGCAGCCCTGTCAATCCAGCCTGCACTGGAGGTGATTCCGTGTGGCTCCTATCGCAGAGGCCGAGCCATGTGCGGTGATGTTGATGTCCTGATCACGCACCCTGATGGCAAGTCTCATGAAGGCGTCCTCTGCAAGATACTGCAGGTCCTTCATGAAAGCCGTAAGTTCTCTTGAAAAACAATCTTTACTGCAACAAACAAAAGTGTGTCTGCATCATAATATGGCATATTTCCATTTTGTTGAATCGAATTCATGTCATGGCATTAAGAAATACAGTACGACTGGAACTATGTGTATGGTATTATACTTTTTGTATTGTCATCACTTAAAAAGTAAGTGGCTCTTTACTTTTTGTCAGTTCAATATTGCTTGACACTTTTTGACAATTCTAAGCACAGGGAGTATATTTAGTTATTCATTATTTATTAGAAATACTTTCAGGGCTCTAAGCCACTATTGAAAGGAGTCGTGGGAGAAAGAGTTAGATATACAGTTAGCATAGAAAATGTTCCAAAGCATTTTCTAGAGCAGCCCTAACCTCTTGATCTTCTGTTATGCTAGCAGTCGTAGCGAGAAGGGGATTCCAGGGGACGCGTGTTCTCAAAGCAAAACATTCATTACACACTTATGTGTGATACGATGGTAGCTGGATACACATTATAGCAATGATTCCTCCTTGCTGATGTGTAACAACAAGGATAAACTAAAGCACTCTGTTCCCCATAACTAAATAAGTTCAAGCTCACAGAACAGCAATGGCGTCTCCTTTCAAGTAGTGATATATTAACCTGTTTGTATAAGGAGCTATAAACCCAGAAAAATTACACCCAGTACTTGTAAATGCATGAAATTTTAAGTGTACCCCTTTCTGTTATAGCGTCTTATAATGGTTGCCTTTTTTCCCAAAAATTGTTTGTTTGTAAACACCCAAGTGTGCATCTATTCTGTACTTCATAAACAACCACTAGAATGTTATTTTCTTTTCTTTTTTCTTTCAATCATACGTGAGCACTGTATGTAGTTTGGTGTGCCATTGCTTCTGTTGCCTTGTACAAATGGGAAGTGGGGCTAGTCAAGCTGCTATAGCGCAGCTTTTTTCCTACTTTCCATGCCACAATTGTTTCTTGTTTGTGTAATCACGGTGTATCGTTGTGGTGAAATAAATTTCAACTTTCTTTCAACTTTCAACATTACATTACAATTACTTCTAATAACAGCTCTCATACTTTCCCTGGCATTATTATCTGCTAGTTCTCATTATTACTGTCTAACAATGAAAATTAGCCCTTACGTTTTACACTTTCCTTCATTCATAGCGAGGGTCTAGTTCTGGCAGCCTTGATGCCTTGAGGTGGAATGCGAATGACTAGCGGTCAGCTGCCATCTCGTAATAATTTCACGTACTATGTGACACCAAAACAGTCAAAAAGAGTGTTGCACACTTGCTTCAATGACAACAAGTGGCACTGAATGAAGCTCTCACATTTACATACACATATAACCTACAAAGCGGACGGAGGGATAATTGCCACCGTAGCTCAGTGGTATAGCATCGAACATATTATTTGAAGGTTGCAGGCTCGGATTCTGCTGGTGGCAAGTTATCTGTTGTTTCATTTTTCTTTCTTCACATTTACATTGCAAGTACTTCTAATAACAGCCCCCATGCTCTCTCTGGTGTTATTGTCTCTTATTACTCATTACTACTGTGTCTAACAATGAAAACAAGCCCTTAAAAATTTCCACTGTCTGCGTCGGGACAAACAAGAATGCGGCGGTACTCTCTTTCTTTCTCTTCCCTCTTTCTTTTTATGCTGCAAGGGTTTTCGTTCATTGAAATCACTTGCTGCCAAAGGAAATCTGAGCAGCCAGCAGAAAATCGGGCTCAAGCACTTCCATGACTTTCTTGAGAAGATACAGTCTGCAGTAGCAGAGTAGATTGCAGACACAGTATGTCAAGAGCGTGAGATAACCTTTTAACCATTGATGTTTTAACAGTGCGGTCACTGCAGGTGAAGAAAGCAGCCCTGTGAATCCAGCCTGCACTCGAGGTGATTCCGTGTGGCTCCTATCGCAGAGGCCGAGCCATGTGCGGGGATGTTGATGTCCTAATCACGCACCCTGATGGCAAGTCTCATGAAGGCGTCTTCTGCAAGATACTGCAGATCCTTCATGAAAGCCCTTCTTCAATTTCAGTGTACTGAAGATGCATTAGCGTTGGGTTTAGCCTTATACCATTCACTACACGTATATACATGTCGTGACACAAGTTTCACATGAACATGCATTTTCATGTGTATGCGCGTGTACCGTATTGTATGTATTGTATACATGCTTCTAAAGCATGTATACAATAAACAAAGTTAACAGTCCAATATGATGGCACCCATATGTAGTACAATCGGTAGAAGATTCAATGCGAGAGAGCTCGACCACAGTCGGATGCTTCTTATTACAAACTTGTCTTCACGATAACTCGGCCGTGAAAGTAA